ACCAAGATGCATTATGTAAAGGTACAATTCCCAATGAGAAATGTAATTGTGTTGTATACCTACAATGTACCAATAAAAGAATTTAATAAAAAAATAAATAAAACCACCCTTAGTTTAAGATAATAAAATCATGTATCTACGCAAAAAAAAAAAAAAAAAGAAAGAGATATTTTCAAGAGAAGACAGGAAAGGTAGGCTGAAGTTACAGTGAACAGATGGAATAAAGAAAAAAATAGCAATGTAGTAGATTTAAACCCAAATTCACCTATCTTCATCTTAAATGGGATGATCTAAAAATTCAGGTTAAATGTCTAAGATTGTCAAAATCCCGCTAATAAATGCATTAAAGAAGTAATATATAATTATGCATTATACGTTATTTGGAGATATATTCTATAAAACATGTGAAAACTAAAAAAACCCTGCTGATAGAAATTAGAGAAAACTGAGATATACCATGTTCATGGAACTGAAGCTACAATAGTGAAGATGTAAATTCTTCCAAAATACCTCTACAAATAGAATGTGGTGACCGACCCCTCCAGGCCTCTGAGGAGTGAGCTGCCAGGAGCCAAGCTTTGTGGAGCTGAGCTGTGTGAGCCGCCATTAGCACTCCCCCCTCAAGCCTCCAAGGAGTGGAGCCTCACAGGCACCTGTGGCACCACCCCAGCAGCCTCCTCACATCTCTGGCTTCTGGGCTGCACTGGTACCTGGATCCACACCACAGAGGCACAGGGAGTCATAAAGGCCATTGTTCTGAGCTCCAAATGATAGAGAAGAAGTGAACAACAGAAAGAAGGGCTCTCTCAGGCTCCTTGATGAAAATTGAAGCCCACTGGAAAAGTGAAGAAAATCTCTGCAATAAAGGCACCCCAGACCACTGTAGTTGGTAAGTTGGAGGGATCACCACCTCCCATCAGAAGCTGCACTATCTTCAGGGGAAGGGCAGCTGGAGCCTGCAGTAGAACCTTGCAGAGCTCAACTCTGCAGGAGGTCAGGGAGCTCAGCTTGGGCCTCGAAGCCAAAAATCAGCCTGAATCTCAGGGGACTGCTGCTGGCTTGCTGAGACTAATTGACTTAGATCTACACACTGCTGCCCATGTTGTCTATTGTGACAGCAGAGACATACCCTGCAGGAGGCCTTTCATTTTTATTTTTTATTTTCAAAATTATTTTTTCTCTTATTTTTAATTTTAATTTTTTCTTCTTTTCAAATTTTTCTTTTTTTTCTTTTCTTTCTCTCTGTCACTCTCTCACTCTCTTGCTCTCCCACCTTGTTCTTCATCTCCTTTTTTGTTCCTATTCTTGGCCTAATTTGGACTTCTTTCTTTTTCTTTTCTTCTCTCTTTTTCCTTCTCTTGATTGTCATTAGTTTTAAAGGAAAGTGAATACAGTTTCTAGCTTCCCTATTGCTGTTAGGTTGTTCTGTTCTTGTCTTTGTTCTTTCGTTCTGTCTTTCCCTCTTGTCTTCAACAGTTTCCTAGAATTTGCATGATCTTCCTGTGTTCTCTGGCCTCACTTCTAACCTTTCCCTAGCCTTCTACCTATCTATCCCTCTCTCCTAAACTCCTTCTAAGTCCCCATCCCAAAGGGTAAAGTTGCTATATTGAAGAGATTACTCACTATAAACATATTTTGGGCTGGTCCTCGATTTTGATTTAATTCACATGGCTAAAGGTGATAGATGAATAACTACCACAAATGGTCATTTTCTAAGCTGTGCTTGATACTGTTGTTGCTGATTGTATCACTTGGGCTAAGGTGTTGTGATCGATCTAATCAGTTGTCCTTCCTGGTATACTGAAAATGAGATTGCCTCAGAATCATTAGTGACTCAAAACCTAAAGACCAGCTATATCTGGAAGACACTTCTGAGAAGCAATCATTCCTTAAGGGTTCTAAATACAAATAACAAAGATACTTACAATAATCAATATTGAAGTATCAACCCAGGAATTAAACCAAAAACAGTAACAACAACAAAAATAGAAATGAAAAGACACTTCAGAAAGGTGCAAACCCAGACTTACAGCTCACCAAAGGCAAATTCTGGGGGTAAGGAGGAGGAAAAGTCTGGTAATCAACCACTTGGACACCCCGAACTTATAGCACAGGAAGTAACAAAACACATGAATGAGACTCTAGAGAAATTCAAAAGAGAAATAATATCCCAGATAACTACAGAGATGGTGAGCAGAATGAATGACATGATTAGAGACTCTAGAACAGAAGCAGATAAAAAATAAATAGATGAATTCAGGACCATGGTGGAAGCCATATATGCCCAGCATAGGAAAGAAATGGAAAGAATGAATGCCCAACATAGGAAAGAAATGGAATCCATAAAACAGATTCAAACGACAGATATCCAGGAGATTAAAAACTCTATTGAAAGTATTCACAGCAGGGCCCAGGATTTAGTTCAGTGGTTCCATTGCCTGTCTCGCAAGCGCAAGGGCCTGAATTCAATCCCCAGTACCAGAAAGAAAGAAAGAAAGAAAGAAAGAAAGAAAGAAAGAAAGAAAAGTATTCGCAGCCAATCTGAAGACAGACTATCAGATATAGAAGACAGGATGGTGGTCATTCACCATAAAAAGAGAGATCTCTTAAAAACAGTAAGAGTCCATGAGAAATCGAGCCAACAGCTCCTAGATGATGCAAAGAATAATATAAGACTGACAGGAGTCCATGAAAAAGCAGGAGAAAGTACAAATGACATAAAAAAAAAACTGTTCACAGAATTAATGACAGAAAACTTCCCAAACAGAGCAAAAGAATTTGACATACAGATAAGTGAGACATATAGAACTCTAAATAGCCAGGATCAAAAAATCTAAACCTAGACATATAATAATCAAGATTCTGGAAACCCAACAGAAGAACAAAATACTTCAAGCAGTTAGAGAAAAGAAACAAATCACATACAAAGGAAAACCCATCAGAATCACAGCAGGCTTCCCAACACAAAACCTGAAGTTAAAAGAGCCTGGAGTGAGGTATTTCAAGCCCTAAAAGAAAACAACCTCTAACCTAGACTGATATATCCTGCAAAACTATCTTTCAAAGTTGATGGGGACATAAGATTCTTCCATGATAGAGAACACCAGGGAAACTTCATGAATACCAAACCAGCACTCCAAACAATTCTAAACAATATCCTAGAAAAAGACAATGAGAGGTCACAACTCCATGAGGCACAACAAGGCAAATCCATCAGGAAAGGCAAGAAATTAAAGGGAGAGGGGGAAAAATAAAAAATAAAAGAACCAACAAGGAGAAAATAACATGACAAAGATAAGTCAATACATATCAGTTATAACCATTAATGTTAATGGGATCAATTCACCAATCAAAAGAAATAGACTGTCAGAATGGATTAAGAAGCTAAATCCAACAATATGCTGTATACAAGAAACACACTTAACTCAAAAAGAAATTCATAGACTGAAAATAAAAGAATGGAAAACAGTTCTCCATGCAACAGGAACAGAAAAAAGCAGGGGTAGTAATCTTATTTGGAGACAAAATTGATTTCAAACCAAAACTAATTAAGAGAGACAAAGAAGGTCACTACATCCTTGTAAAGGGAACAATCCAAGAGGAAGAGATGACAATCATAAATAT